ATGCGGTGCCGGTGGAGCGGTGCGGTGCGGGCGGTGCGGGGCAGGAGGCGGGGGCGGGCCCCGCTCGCTGCCCCGGGCTGCGGCCGCGGGCGGCGGGGGGCGGTGACGTCACAGAGCCGCTCGCCAGCACAACGTTCCATTGAGCCGAGCGCGTGCTCGGGCGAGCACATGGGCAGCGGGGCCCGCTCAGCTCCGCGCCCGCCGGGCCCGGCCCGGGAGCGGGACCCGGTGAGTACCGGGGCCGCGGTCGGGGCGGCGGGGTGCGAGGCGGCGGCGGGGTGCGGGGAGAGCGGGTATTTATTTATTTAATGTGGGTAATGTGGGTTTGCCTTTACTTTCCCCAGCGCCCCCCCCTCCCCCCCTCCGTTGTTGTCCGTGCCCCCGGTGGGGTGTGCGGGTCGCGGGGGTAGCGCGGATGGGGGGGAGGGGAGGGTGCTTTTCGCGTTATTTATTTATCTTTGTTAAAGCGCTGGGTCGCCCGTGGCCTAAAGATAGCAACTGCACGGCGAGACCCGTGCAGATGCGGAGGAGAGGGGGCCGGGGCACTGTCCGACGGCAAACGCGGCCGCGATGGGGCCGTCGGTGCTGGGGGTCGTCGCGGCTCGGAGTGACCCCGCGCGATGCGTCCATCCCCCGCAGCCCCCCCTCCCCCCAGGCTGCCGAACCCGGGGAGGGGGGGAGGAAGAAGTGGGTGCCCACTCCCCCGTCCCGTGGTGTGGGGAGACCCCCGGGTCAGGGAGGTGACGGGGGGTCCCCGCGGCGCGGGCCTGGATGAGCCCTCTGTTACTGCGCGGAAAATGCGCGCTGCGCGCAGGCCGGGACGCGGAGCCGGCCTGCTGCTGCCTGCTCTGCCTGCTGCTGTCTGCCTGTGTGTGCGGGGTGAATTAGGTTTTAACCCGCAGCACTGGGCTGCGTTGCTCGGCCACCGTTAGTGTGGTCAGTCTGGTTCTGAGCTGGGTATCAGGAGGGCCTGAAGAACAGACAGGAAAGATTCTGTGCATGTTCCAAGGACCGTTTTTACAAAGGATTTTTTAGACCGTCTTTCCCTTAAAAAAAGTTGTATGGGGATTTTGAGTACAACTTTAATAGGCCCTATTTTATTTTGGTACCTAAATAATACTGAAGTGCTTCCATTTGACAGGGTGCTTTAAGACTTGGATCTTGGTCTGTTAAGCTGCTGGTTGCTGCATCTTAAAATACTGTGTGGAGAAATCCCAGCAGAACCGAGAATTGTATCTTAGAGATGCTGCAGGCCCTCAGTGAGATCTTTTTAATCCCATCTGCGTTGACAAGTTTAGACATGTTGTCTTGGCCATGTATCTGGTCAGACTGAGACCCACATTAGTTCCTCTTTACTAATATATTAAAAAATGTAGGTTATTTAAGTCATTTATTTGGAACAAAAGAGCTTCTCTGAGGGTATATTAGAGTATATTAGGCATTGCTAAATACAAAGAGCACAATATGTTATGTGCGTATTATGGCTGCATGAGATGGGAGTGTTTATTTCTTCATCGAGTAGAAATATAATCTCACTAATGCTAGTTTGCACCAACTGGTGTGGATTATCTAAACGCATTTATATACACTGTTGCAAAACCTGAAGATATTAAAAAAATGTAGCTCTGAAGTGTGGACATCACTAATAAATAAGGATACATTCTGATACTTAGGTGTCATAAACATCCAATTTCCTTTCGATTGTGACTTTTAAAATTATTTAACAAATATGTGTGTTTTCAAAGCACGTGGGGCAGTAAGATGCTCTTTTGTGCTAGGAGCTGCATATCTCTGATAAATGACAGCTCACACCCCAGGGAGGTTCAAGTGATCTTATTTTCACTGTGCATGATTTTAGAAATGCACCTCTAACTTTATTCTTTTCACCTCTCTCTTCTGTCTCTCATAGCATTAAGTCAGGAGTCTGGCTTAGCATTGTTGTAATTCTGATCGGTCTGACTGTGCCTCTGTGCATTTTAAGTTGTTTAAAGATAATTAGTGATACAGGTGCAGTTTGCCAGCCAGTGGGAATGCCTCTATACCAGTTTGGAGTAAAATGTACTGTGCATCTCTACGTCTCACATCCCTGGAAGAGGGGCCGTGCCGGTCTGGCTGCACTGGGACAGCAAGAGCAGTGCCAGCTCGCTGCCTCTGCGAGGCCTGGAGGATTTGGCATCGTTTGCATCTGCACACTGATGTCCACGCTACGTCAGAGCCAGTCTGCAGCAGCAAAAATAAGGAAGGGCTCAGGCCTGCTGCCGTTCAAGGCCCATCTGTTGCAGAAAGGAATCCTATGTTTGAATTAGTTTGTAAATTGGAATATTGGTGTCCTGGGTGAACATGCACGCTTGGAATATAACTTTGGCTAGACATGACAAATTTCAGAGGCGATGGTGAGTTGTATCTCCTGACAGTAGTGTGCTTCTGCAGCTCTGTGTCATGGTGTGCTCTCCTCTCTGTACCCCTGCCCCACCAAAGCCCAGTTTTTTGTTTCATTAAGGACTATTGGCTTCTAAAATTGGAGCTTATGCCTAATTATTTTCAAGATTTGAACCGTATCTTCCTAGTTTTAATCAGAATGCTTTACAAGGGCAGCTTATGCTTCCTGACTGTACATGTTTCATTTACTTTTGCATGAGGAATTACAGGGGAAGCTGATGTTGTGGAGCAAGGCAGGGGGGAAGAAAAGTGTGTCTACATACTTTTAGGGTATTGGTGCATCTTGTGTTTGTTTGGCACCATTCAGCTGAAGGTGCATTATTACAATATCACTATTTTTCTATGGGCCTCTACGGCATTTTTTAGTAATTATGCTGGTGCAGATCTACTAGGAATTGCAAAGTCGTGCTTACAGGTGAGACAGCTTAAAAAATAATATTTTTTCCCCATTGGTCTGTGCAGACAACAGTGCTGGCAAGCCATGGGAAAATGCTGTGACATGGAAGGTATTGCTGCTGCTTGCAGGATTACTGGGGTTTTTCTTTTGCTCCCAGTAGATGAATTGAGCAAAGGCTGGTGTCAGGCACTTGTAGTGCAGTGCACTGCAGCTGTATACCCATCAGTCCAGCAATGCCTTTGGGTCTGTCAGTGCCTCAGTGGAGCCTCTGTACTGCTCTTAGTGCGTCACTGCTGGAGATGCTGAGGTGGTGGGCACATCATTCTGAACCCTCACTGCTGGCCAAGGGGGTGGCGGTGTGGTGTGACCTCCTACTTTGTGAACCAGGAGAGGTGCAGAGCTTCAAACTGAGCTAGTGGAGAGGAAAATGCATACCTGGTCAGGAAATTTTTGCCTTTTTGCAGCAAGGTGATACTGATCTTATTTTGAAGCACACTATGTTGTTTTCTGTCTCACTGCTGTGTAATACTGAACACCTTCATAGTTTCTGATGAGATTTTTGAAGAATGAGGAGGGAATAAAGACATGATCTGTCTCTTGGACCCGTTATCACTGCATATGGGGCACATTTTCCCTCGTTACAGCTGCATCTATTCCTGAGGCTGTCTGTCTTCTTACGCAGCGAAGTGCTGAGTGCCCTGGCAAGCAGTACTGCTGTGCATCTGCATATGGTTTACTTATACCTGAAGATGCAGTGCCTGCCATTTGCTTGCCTTCTGGGTACAGTTCAGTGGAGGACAGTGTTTTTTTGAGTTACCAGTATTGCGATAAAGCAGTACTCTTGAGTCTTCCCTCAGTTTCCTCTCTGGCAAGTGCCAGAGATCGTTTAGGATGGGGCTTGCCCATGTGCTTCCCTCCCTGTCGCTCCAAGGGTGACAAATGAAAAGCAGTGAGATGGCTACCTGGCACATCAGCTCTGCTCTGCTGAACACAGCAGTCTGCAGAGTGACACAAACACTGGGACCAGCCGGGCATATGGAGTGGTCTGGATGTGTATGATCTAAAACATCCAGACGTGTGTGATCTAAATGCTTTTTAATGAATCCCTGGATGGTATAATTCTTTATGTGAATTCAAGATATGGATGCGAATATCAAAGTGGAGCTGTATCGAGGGCTGGTTGAGTATCATCCATGTTTTCCTAGCATATTTGTCCCACCCCCTCTCATGGCTGTGCTGTCACATCTTCACTGCAATTGGTATGTTATATTTGTCAGCAGATATTACATCTCCCATCACCTCGAAAGAAAAATGATCCTTGAATTACTGCTGGTATAGTGCATCATGCAGGAAGAGGCTCTTGAGTGCAGCAGTGTCAGGCAAAGCTAGAACTGGTGCCTGGTAGATAATTCCAATTAGAAATTATGGCATGTGTCTTTAATGGCAGGAGTGATTAGCCGCTGAAACAAATCACCAGTAGAAGAGGCAGGTTCTCTCTCAGTCATTTCTGCTTGAGTTGGAAGAAGCAGTAGAAGAAGCTTTGTATAAAAGTTACTGGGCAGGTTCCTGCAAATCAGCTCATTAGAAAGTTCCTTGGCAGGGGAGGGGAGGTTTGACCATGCTCCCCACTGTGAGGTTGGGTTGTGTGGACATTGGGAGCCCACCTGCAGGGGAGTGGGCTGAGGTGAGCTGGGGCATGTGGAGCACTGACAAGAAGTAGCAGCCCAAAGCCCTGAAAAGACTGTGTAGTTGCACAGGACAGTGTCATTGCACAGGAGAGTGTTGTTGTACTGAAGAGTGTAGTTGCCATGAGATGCTTTGGAAATCAGCTTTTTATCACCTCTTTTGCATGTCTCAGTCAGGAGTACCCTGTGCCAGATCAAGTACATGGCCAAGAGCTGCAGGACTTTGAGAGCTTCTTGAGGGGAGAGTTTTACATCACTGGGGCTCTCACCTATAAGCTGGGGGCTTGTCCAGGCACAGGACTCAGCTGCTCTTCTGGAGGTAGGAATAAATGGCAGAGAAGTCTAAAGTAAGCCCCAAAAGGATCATCTGTTTTGGGGAGAGGAGGTCCCTACTGCAAGAGCAGGACCTGGAGCTGTAGGCTGTTTCCTTAGAGGCAGGTGGAGAGCAGAGCTGGGTGGCAAAACCACATCCCATCATGTGGTTTGTTAAGCAGCTTGTAGGGACCTTCAGCACAATGTGGGTTGGGCTGGGAGCCCCCAGACTTTAAAGTGGGCCAGTGCATGGATTTTAAGATGTAAAACTCTTGTCCAGTCCTCCTAACCACCACCATCACCTTCCCTCCATCCAACTGGATGGTCCACTTCTCCCTGGCTTTCTCTGAACGCCCATTCTGTGCTGTCTGGCTTCCCTGGGTAACTGTTGATTGTCTGCCTTGTCTGTGCTTTAGATTTACTGCTGGAGTTGAGCTAGTTAAGGGATATGTCAGGCTGGTAATGCCTTTGGTGTGGATGCAGGACCCTGATTCCTTGCACTGGTAGAAGCTATCATGTTAGTACTGCTTTAAGTTCTGCATTAGGGAAATTTTGCAAGGTAGCAAATCCTACAGGTTCAAAGTCATTACCAAGCAGGCATGGTACAGGCTGTCTGCTGCCTGCTTATGTACTGCATGCCTTTGGTCTTGGGTAATTTTGTGCCTGTCCTGAATTCCCAACAGCTGGATTGAAGAGGTTGCTTACCTCACTTTTTTCCTCCCAATGAGAATAACTAAAACTTGAGATCTTTTCACCAGTGCTGCAGGAGTAGAAACCTGTGAGGTTCTGTGTAGATCTCAGCTGGTATTGGGGAGCTGTTGCCAGCAACTTAAAAGGAGAAGAAAAATCCAATTTAGGAGTATTAAAAAAAAAAAAAGCAACAACCTGCAACTCTTGGTTAACACTTTATATTTTGAGGCCTAGATTTGATCATACTGCAGACCATCTTATCTGGAAAATATTGGCTGAGCAAAATTCCAGCCAAAATTAAATACATTGCATTGTCTCCTGAAGTTCCCTGCCCAGGTAAGGAGTGAGCACCACATGCACAAGTGGAAGGGGCATGCCGGCTGTGCAGGGAACACATGGTGCAGGAGGCTGGAGTGTTACTGATTCTGTAGGTTTGGGAAAGGTGGCTTTTCCTAGCCATCTTTCGGACAGGTGCTGCGTCCTTGCAGCTTGGTGTCAGATCAGGTATCACTGTCCCTGGCGGTGGTGCAGCGCTGACATATGTGTGGTGTTGTGTGTGCTGGTTTACATGGTGGAAACAGCAGCCCTGGGCTCATGGCTGAGCTTGTGGGATACGGAGCAATGGCCAAAGCCCAGGCTGTGCTTCAACCCTTTACATTACACCTCCATGAATGGAAAAAGCATGGGTCTCCCTTTGCTGTTATTAACATTTGGTATTATTATTATCACCCTCATCATTAAAACTATAATGATTATTTTATATATATATATATATATATATATATATATATAAAAATATATAATAAGCTGTGTTGCAAATGTAAAGTTTATTATACAGTCACGTAGTCATGCTATAGGAATCTCTAGATGTGATGTACCAAAACCCCTTTATGTTTCAACCGGAGTTGTGAAGAAGTAGTCACAGCTACCAGTGCAATGACTTGTAATTTAAGACACAGATCAAAAGCTACGATACATCCTTTTGGAAATATTTAGTAATGTTTCCAGCCCTATTTAAATAGTAATGAGTTGTTTACTTTTGGTCTTCCTTCATAAGAGTAGGAAAGTCTGAAATACATTTTCCCAGAAGTTCTCATGGGGGGAGCAAAGGCCAAGAGCTTCGTGCTGTGGCACAGGCAACTGAGATACTGCTCAGGGGTTTTAGATGATCATGTTTTCTGTGTGAATTGCTGGATCCTTTGATTTACAGGTATCTCACATCTGGTTCTTGTTCTTCTTAGCTTTTGGAGATGGACAAAGCTTTACATTTTTTTAACTGTGAAAAAGGCTGCTGTTAGATTATATAAAAATACTAACAAAAATGTACATGTGTTTGGTGTTACAGAGGAAAATAATCAGCCTTGTTTACGAGCTGAGAGGTTGGACTGGAGATCTCAGAGAGTTCTTACCACCAGCACTTCTCTGTTTTTGTGGTAACTGAGGCAAACTTGAAAAGCTGAGCTTCCAGGTCTATGTTTGTGAAAAAAGATGGAAGGTGGCCCAGCTTTCCTGAATACACAAGAAAAGTAAATAAATGTGATTAAGATAAGCAGGTTTAGAGGAGAAATTTGTCTTGAAAAATTTTCCTTATTTTGCGTTGTTAGCAAGGAAACCCACCAGTTCTGTTTGTTACAAGTGGCTTGGAAAGATGATGGAGATCCCGGTGCTTGGCCATGGGTAGGATTTGGGATCTTGGCAAGTCATTCCCCCCCCCCCCCCCCACTTCTGTTTGACTCTCATCTGCAAACATATTGGGGCAGCCACTACCTTTCATTACTGTTGTTCACAGCATAGAACATCAGAGCCCTAATGTCAGGTGAACCCTCAGAGCCTCACAGAAATGTTTGAGCTCCTGTACTTGATGTGATCA